CTTTTTTCACCCCATATAATACTTGCTTATCACTCAAAATATTATTTCATTCAATAGATTACCGCAACACTTTTAAACTCTTTTGACAAAGATATTCAAGGTTAGTTAATGTTTAGGGAAAATTATTTATAAGTCCTATTTGGAAGAGTTATTTAATGTGAAATTCTATAAATATTCTTTTAGAGTTTGAAATTCTATTTAAATAGGAATATATTCCATAAGGTCCTATGAGTTGTAAATGAATGATATTGGTGTACTTTTATACCCCTAACTTGTTTTCAATGTCACGTTGGATTTGGAAATGTTACATTTACGTTTTGAATTTCAAATTTCTAACCATATAGATATGTTCACAATCTATGGCTGTTGAAAAAATGGTTTAATATAGACATATTTTTTAGTCCAAATTTAAGTGGGCCCCAAACGTCTTTTGGGGTGGGTCCAAAGAGGTGAAGTGTTTGGGGGTGGGTCCGAAGAGGTGAAGTGTTCCTTGCCGCGTGGCAAGTCACACGGTGAAGACAGAACGTCAAAACCATTTATGAATGAATGGGAAGTTGACGTCGTTTTCGAGTCTAACATTAATTTTTTAGATAAAATTCATTTGAATCTTTTCAATAAAAATTATTGTGGGAATTTATTTTAAATCTAAATCAAATTTTGGGTTCTTAAGTGGTTTCCTAAAGTTTGTACCTCTTCCTTTATTGATTAAACTATTCAAATAGTTTAATATATATATTCCAAACAGTTTTAAAAAACTTTTCCTCCGTTAGCTTTATTGATTAAACTATTCAAATAGTTTAATAATAAAGTTCCAACAGTTTTAAAACTGTGCCACCAACGGATCTTTTTCAAACAGTTTGAAAAATTGATCTTTGCAACGGTCAGATCACTATTCAACAGTTATCTGTTTGAATAGTGTGTGCACCTATTCACTTCAATTTGGTACTTGTTCGGGGTCAAGTTTTTACCTATAAATTTAGACCATTTTCTGCAGTCTTGGATACGAAAAAATCTATCTGAATTTTATTTCTCTTGCTGTCCAGATTTTTCTATTTGCATTAATTATTCATATTAGTTTTAGAATAAGTTTTCAGAGAGTTAGAACACAGGTTTGGTTTGCCGTACAATTTGTTTTTGGAGTGCTACTACAAATTGGTTAAGATCATTGTATCCTGGGAGATAGACGCCACTCAACCGTAAGCACCGTAGCGGGGTGAATCTGTCTTAAGGACAGAGTGTCACACACTCGACTTGGTCTTTTAATTTTTTAATTCGGTTCGATAAATAAATTCGGTACGCTATTTATTTATTTGTTCGATTTTGTTTCTATTTATTTTATTTACACAGAAGATTGTTCTAACAATGGTAACATTGGATTTTCTATATAAGGTATTTCCATTAATTAGATTATTTTGAATTTCAAAAGTATATGAAAATGTCACGTTAGATTTGGAAATATCACATTGGGTTTGGGATGTTACATGCTACATTTACGTTTTGAATTTCAAATTTTCAACCATATAGATATGATCACAATCTATGGTAATATTTAATTTTCCATATATAATATTGCCATTAATTAGTCCATATATAGTATTACCATTAATTAAGTTATTTTGAATTTTAAATTTCTAACCATATATATATGATTATAATATATGGCAACATTGGATTTCCCATATATGTCACTGCCATTAATTAGGTTGTTTTAAATTTTAAATTTTTAACCATATAGATATGATCATAATCTCTAATAGCATTGAATTTCCCATATATGGTATTATCATTAATCAGGTCATAGGGCCATCTTTTGTATAAGTCTTCCAAATAGAACTTACAAATAATTTACCCAATTAAAAGTCTGTGATTTTGTTTAAATATAAAAAAATAATAATCCTATAAGTCTCACTATTTATATATATGGAAACAAGAAAAATTATTTAGTTTGCTAAAGATTTAAATGATTTTCAATTTTTTTAGCTATTTAAAATATGGTTAAGTATCCACAGGGGCAAAAATAAAATTGAAAAATTCTACCCGTAGTGAGGATGAGATTTGTTTGCAAGAACAGAGGCGAAGAATGACAAATCCACCCGCGGCGATCTTAGGCATAACCTAATGTTGGAAATGGAAATCTTATATCCCATAGAGATCATTGTTGTCTCTTCATTTTTGACACCCACTCCCAATCGCTCTCTCAAAAAGGCATAACCTAATATTGGAAATGAAAATCTCATGTTCCATAAAGATCATTGTTGTTGGTTCAATTTTGTTGTACAGTTCATAAGCAAAGCAACAAAGATGGAAAGAGTTTGACAGGGGTTGTTTGAGCTGTCCTAAATAAGTGTACTTTTTGACTTTTTATGAAATATGGATTGAGTATGGGTTGGGTTTGAAGTGATGTGACAGTAAGGTAATGTGACTTAAATAAGATGATGTAACTTAAAAAAGATAGTGACTTTTTGACTTTTTGAATTTTTTTGCAGTAAGGTAATGTGACTTAAATAAGATGATGTAACTTAAAAAAGATAGTGACTTTTTGACTTTTTGAATTTTTTTGAGAATGCCAAACTTAAAAAAAGGGATTTGAGATTGATACGGAGAAAATGATTATTTTTAATTTATTTTTTTATTTTTTATCTTATTGGAAAATTGCTCTGCAAAAGACATAAAGCCAATGCCTCCTTCCCTTAAAGCAACTCTAGCTCTGCTACGTAAAATGTTTAGCAAACATTAAAACAAAATTACTATTTTTATTTTGCCTAATTAATTTAATTAATATGTACTCTAACAATATGTTTTATTTGAATTAATCAATCAAAATAATTTAATTAATTTTTAAAAGAAAAATACTATACATATAAATAAAAAAATATATAATCTTTTTTTATGACATGCGATATATGTACCTAGTATTGACATGATTGCTAACGCAACATTATTTATTTTTAAAAAATATATTATTAAATTATTTTGTTAAATAATAAGAAAATTTAGTCAAAATCTCTCCATTGGACTTTTGTTTGATGAAAAGAATAACTCAATTTATTTTGTTTTATGGATCCCTTAAAAAGGAAGTATATAATTGAGTAAGGACAGATTAAAATTTCTTTTTTCTTGAATAATATTGTCCATGCATATATATATATATATATGTCACATAACTCTTTTGACAAGAAATACTTGTATTTTATTTTATACAAGTTTTAAAATATAATATTTTTGGTTGTTTCATCTAATATGTATTCTGTTTTTTGTAATTGTGTGAATTAGAGTAACATATTACTGTAGACCAACGTAATGTTACTTACTATGAGATAGAGTAACTTATTACTATCAAACATAGTAACATATTTACGTCAATTTTGACGATATGTATATATATTTTTTAATAATTTCATAATCAACATAGATTTTGTTTCATAGATCTTGATGAGATGATTCTAAAAATACTAATTTTATTAAAAATTGACATCTACATCCTTGCCAAAAAAAAAATTTGTGACGATTTTTTACATGTGGCTAAAAATTGATAATTAGCGCCTTTTTTGTCACGATTTTTATACATTGTCACTAAAACTTACAATTAGTGATATTTTTCTGTGATGAATTTTCAAATTATCGCTGAAAGTAGAAAATATTTGATTTTTTTATGATGGTTTTTTAAACTGTTACTAAACTTAATAATTAATGACATTTTTTATAACAAAATTTTTAAACTGTCACTGAAATTAACAATTAGTTACTTTTTTTAATAGTGTGTGATGAAAAACACTATTAATTATTAAAAGATCTATTGGACAATAATTCTACCTATTAAAATCTATACATAAGTTTTTCTTAAATTACTCACTAAGTATATTTTAATAATAGTGATATTTGTTAGACTTTTCAAGAAAACGAGACCTTTATATTTATTCTTAGTATATTAAAATTTTATTATTAAGGAGTTTTGATTAAATCTCTCACAATAATATTTTTATACGATTATATTCTGAAAGAGAGAGAGGCTTGACCTTTGAATGACTGATCATTGGAGAGAGAGAGAGAGAGAGAGAGGCTTGACCTTTGAATGACTGATCATTGGAAGGCTGGAGAATGAATATGACGGGGAAGAAAGTTTTTTTCTAGCTTCCAACACTGGTTACATGTAGAAAGTGAAAAAAATAAATAAAAAAATAAAGACAAAATGTCTATAATTTTGCAGAGTTTGTTGGAAGTTATAAATTACAATAGCTTCGTTTGGGATGAATGTTTGAACTAAAATAGTCATGTATGATAAAATATATTATTTTAATTAAATAAGATAAAATATTATATATAATTTATAATTATTTTATCTTTTCTCTTATAAAAATTAAAAAAATTAAAACTATCTAAAACCAAATTTTTTAGTCCTAAGTTAAAATTACTAAAAAATTAAAAAATCAACTCACATCCTAAACCAACCAAATCTCAATAAGCAAAATACCTCAAATACTCTGGGGTGTTTTGAGAAGATAAAAAGCTCACTTTTGGAAAAATCAAACTTTTGGCTTTTTTAAAAAAGTGATTTGAGAAGTTGGTAACAAGTTAATTTTGACTTTTTTTTATTAATATTTGTTCATGATATCACATCACAATAAAATGACTAAACTACCCCGACCCAATATAAAAAATATTTTTACCCATGTAAATAAAAAAAAAACAAAGGATATAATTGTAATAAATGTGACTTTTAAACTCACCAAATGACTCATTGCTGAAAAAGCCAATCTATCTTTTTCAACAAACAAGCTACAAACATAGCTTTATACCAAGTGGCGTAAAAAGTTATTAAAAAAAATTAAAAAGTCAACAACTTAGGTAAAAAAGTTAAAGATTTTTTTTTTTTTTTATTTTTTACACATCTTTTTGTAAAAAATCAAAAAAATTATTTCAAACATACTAATTTTTTTATTTCATATTTTAATAAAAAAATTTAAAAATTACCAAAATTGGGTGGTGTATGATGATAAATTAGGCAATGATAGAAACCAGAGAGTGATACTCTAAAACAACCACTAATAATGTAACATTCATTTTTTTTTTAAAAAAAAAAAGACACAACAACATTGTGGCAGCAGGTAAGACTCAAGATCCGTTTGAGAAGATGATTTGTGACTAAAATAGCTGCAAAAGACAAAATAGATTATTTTAGTCACAACAAACAAAACATTACATTTAACCCACAATCATTACACTCTTCTCTCATAAAAAAATCAAAAAAAATTAAAAAATTAAAAAATTCTTTTCAAATCAAATTTTTTAACCCAAATTAAAATAATCAAAAATTCTAAAAATTTAAAAACCAATTCACTTTCCAAACCAACACTCACTATCACATTATTAACAACAGTGGCACTAATTAGTGCGCTCAATCAAAATTTACCTGGTGGCAGGAGTTGGGCAGAAGGTGATGACATAGTCTGCAGAGGCACATGTGAAGATACTAGACCCATCATCGTAAGCGTAGCTGTACGCACGTGGGCACGCGCTTTTAAAATACTCGGAGAAGTAAGTCGGCTTACATGTATCAGGCGTCGCGTACGCACCACTACAACAATACTGCGGATCCCCAAACGCATCACACGCGCTCTTGCAGGCCACGTTCTTCGCTCCACCATCACTCATCACCCTCAGCTCCGAAGGGCACGACCCGTTCAGATCAACCACGCACCCTGTGGCCGTGCAGTTCCCACCACCTGTCCCACCCTGTGGGACCACAAGCATTGGGAGGTTATAACCGTCTACGAGGCTGACGTCATAGAAATCGAGGCCTCCGGCGCCATTGAGAGTGAACTCGGCGAGGGTGGCGGGAGGGGCGCCGCCGCTGCCGGAGCATTGGATTGTGGAGGAGCCGCAGTCGCCTGTGGCGCAGGTGAACTTGCCGGTGGTGGAGTCGGTGGTGCAGAAAGTGCGACCCCATAACCGGCCGGACCAGGCGGTGGGGACGGGGATGGCGGTGGATTCACCGGTTTGGAGGGCGAAGCCGGTGGAGGAGAGAGGGGGTGTTCCGGCGCCGGACAATATGCCTGGCCATACCGTGTAGCTGCACTGGTTTACTATTGTGAATGTCGCTGAAAATACACCTGTAGATTAAAAAATTTTGAAAAATGAAAAAGGAAAAAATTATGTACTTGCCAAAAAAAACTTGTAAAATAGAAATTAACTCGCTGAAGATAAAAAAAATTATGTCACTCAATTCTTTACCGGAAGTGAATAGAATGTGACAGATAGAGAAAAGAGCGAAAGAGGAATGAAGTTTAGCCATTGGTGGAATTTATTGGAAAAGGAGAGAGAGGTACGTAGTGTGAAAGGGTTTATAGTTGTTTGTTAGCATGAATGGGGTTGTGGACTATATGAGTCACGTGAGATTGTGAATGCATGGAAATGAAAAAGAGTTAAATGAATAACTAGAGGAAGAAGAAGATGATGAGGATGTGGATGAGGATGATGAGAGTGTTGGTTTTTGACCGACTTTGAGAGGGGGCACACACAAGACACCGCCACAGTGGAGGTCGGTGAATCTGGGTGTCGAGGTGTCTGTCTGTAAGTTGGTGATTTTTTAAGTTTAGGGGAAGTTGAGATTTAGGAGAGCTAATTGAAAAAACCGAGGGAAAGAAAGTTTAAATAGGCAACGTTTACAAAGTTGGCTCTGATCAGTCAGCAGAGCGGGACCCCAATAAATAGATACAACAAATTTATTAATATAATATAAAAAAAAGCAATGTTAGATATTATCAAAAAAATTTCATAAAAATGATCATGAAAGATTTATGACGCTTGAATTACACTTAAAATATAACATCACACCCTAGTCAAGTTAATCTAAAGGTCATAAATTTTTCATGATCAGTTTCATAAATTTTTTTTTATGATCTCTATTTTTTCTCATAAGGAAAATATTAAATATTTTATTAATATTTTAATTAAATGTCTTAGCGAGGGACTCATTATATAATATCATTTTGGGAACATAACAAAAAGTCACATTCTTGGACAAAATATCTAAAAATGCAAGTGTTAAAAAGGTCAAAAAATTAGTTTAATAAAATTTGTACAATTTTTTTGTATTCAATGAATTTATGAAAGATTTTTACATAAATTTTATATTTTTTAAATTAAATTTTATAAATTTTACTTGTTTGGGTAGAATTGCAAAATTGGACTTTTTATATTTTTATTTTTTTGAATCACTTCTCTATTTTTTTACACATACTTTCATAAAAAATTAAAAAATATTCTTATTTAGATTATCTAAATAACTCTATGTAAATTTTAAAATTAAAAATATTTAAAATTATTAAAAATAAAAAAAATAAAAAATGATTCAAAAACTTAAAAAAATAATAATAATAATAATAAAAAAGGGAATAGCCTTCATTTCAAATTCAACCACTACACTTCTCAACTAGTACTTTGCAAGTGGAGAGGCACGGCAATTGGTCGGTGGCTTGTGGGGCTCCACTAAGTGCCTAAGAAGATACGTCATCATTTCAAAAGGCCTTCAGATGGACGGACGAGATTTACGGATTATCATAATAACCGTAGGATTGGATGTGCTCATGTAACTACAAAAAAGGAGATGCAAATTCTGCCGCTTTATATAAAGCGCCTCACCAATGCTCTTTCACGCACTTGTCACATTCCTCTCTGTGAATTCGATCTCGAAAACAAAGCTTAAAAATGGCGAATGGTATTCGATCTTTCCAATTGAACACCGGAGCTCAGATTCCTTCCGTCGGTTTAGGCACTTGGCAGTCCGATCCCGGTCTCGTCGGCGAAGCTGTCGCCACCGCCATCAAGGTTCTCTCTCTCTCTCTCTATATATATATATATATACATATATGAGTTTATGTATTTGGTGATTTATTTATTTATTTTTCTATAATTGAGATATTTGGATGTTGTCGGTCGATACGAGAATCATGAAAAAATCGTGTTAAAATTGTGAAGAAAAATTGCTTGGATAAATGCAAATTAGCATTATTTGGGATAAGTTTTTTCTTTTTTTTTTTTCTTTTTCTTTTTTGGAGAATCAAATGGAATTAGGGACGGAATCAGAATTTCATCTTTTTGAGGTCCGAAACATGAGTAAAAAAATTCACCAGTTGAGATAAACTATCATAGTTGTCTTGTGCTATGTTTAATTCACTGGACTGAAATGATCATTCCTTGCTTTCCCACGGAATGATCATTGCTAGCAATGGTAAATGACGATTGTTTGTAATGTATTTTTCGTCATTTTTTTTTAGTGAATCAAACGGAAGAATGGATATTCTAATGTAATGAATATTATATTTCACATTCTAATAAACCAAAAACTACCTTAGTTCAACAAGATGTATACTAAGATTTAAGGAAAATACTATGGTGATACACTCCGTAACTAAAAAGAAAAAATGCATAATTCTAATTTTTTGAGTTATAACTAAATATATATATATATATATATATATGTGTCATAACTAAATACAACGAGACATAAATAAAGAACTCGTGAGTCATAACTAAAATAATGTCATAACTAAATATGAAAATTGGTCTTAACTCGAAAATAAAATGGCATAATTAAGATTACATATAGTATATCCTTTTTTTAAGAGGGTGTATATTAGAATTTCCTAAGATTTAATACTAAATAGTACACACAAAATAAAGAGGAAAAGCATTAAATAATTGCAATTCAAAAACAATAAAAAATAAATAAAACTTTAATAAACTATTAGAGACGGATAAACCTATGATCACATTTCAATAGTCAACGGGTCATAAACATCATATTTTATTTCAACAATGATACTAAATAGTACATCAAAAAATAAAGAGGAAAAAGCATTAAATAATCATATTTCAAAAACAATAAAAAAAAAAATCAATAAACTATCAGAGACATACAAACCTAACATCAAATTTTAATAATCAACCAATCATAAACATCATATTTTATTTGGTGTAATGAAAACATATCAATAATGCAAGCAATGTAAATATTAAATAATATACATATCAAAAAGAAGAAATCTGATTACAGAGTAATAGTGGTAGTGATAGTGGTTGAAATCTAGATGGTGATCGCTTGATCGGTGACGGAGATAATACCAAAGAATAAGGTTGGCTATACCGCTCAGTCTAATTCTTTTCCCTTACTCAATTTGTGGACTCTTGTGTGAGACAAACAAACCAAATGCTCATAGTGGACGCTTGTGTCAAATGATTGCAGGACGCTTGTGTCTAAATATTCTAATTCAAAAACAATAAAAAATAAATAAAACTTTAATAAACTATTAGAGACGGACAAACCTATGATCACATTTCAATAATCAACAGGTCATAAACATCATATTTTATTTCAACAATGATACTAAATAGTACATCAAAAAATAAAGAGGAAAAAGCATTAAATAATCATATTTCAAAAACAATAAAAAAAAAAAATCAATAAACTATCAGAGACATACAAACCTAATATCAAATTTTAATAATCAACCAATCATAAACATCATATTTTATTTAGTGTAATGAAAACATATCAATAATGCAAGCAATGTAAATATTAAATAATATACACATCAAAAAGAAGAAATCTGATTACAGAGTAATAGTGGTAGTGATGGTGGTTGAAATCTAGATGGTGATCGCTTGATCAGTGATGGAGATAATACCAAAGAATAAGGTTGGCTATACCGCTCAGTCTAATTCTTTTCCCTTACTCAATTTGTGGACTCTTGTGTGAGACAAACAAACCAAATGCTCATAGTGGACGCTTGTGTCAAATGATTGCAGGAGGGCCAACATATGTAATACAAAAACTAAATATTCTAATGGATAGTATTAGAACAGGATTTTTTGCACGGTTAGGGGAGGCCATGTTCCCCTATTGTCAATTGACAGTTCTGTCCATATAGCCTGTATCTTTTGCAATGCAGTCAATAGGTTTTGAATAAAGCTATATTTTTATATTGCCTACTTTAAGAAATAAGGCTATGTTTTGGGATATTTTAGGAGGGGTTGAATCCAAACTTTAAACTCTCAGCATAATGCCTCACATATACGATTTATTAGAACAATACTAATTTTCTTGATTTTTGTAATCATATAATATTTCCTCCTTATTGTCAACAAAAAGGATGACACTTAGTGTTAGTACCCATTAGTGTTCATAGTGAATTTACCTTGGAAAAAATTAAATTTTTTCACCTAGATGATACATATGTTTGGTTTTGTTTATGTCAGTATCCTTCATTATCTTCACCCTTTGGTTATTTTAAAGTTCAAATTTAAATTCTTCTTGTTTTCTAAGCGAGCAATAGAATGCTATGAGGACACAGTTTGTGCATCCATATCTTAGTTGCTCTATTTCTATAGTAATTATATTCATATCTAGTTTTATTATGTGGCTCACTGATATCATGGAGTTGCGGTCTCTTTCATCGTGTATTTTTTTGGAAAACCATGGGATTAGTCCTTTCTACTAATTAGTTTGACTTCATTCATTAATATAATAATGATTAGTGCTAACAAAATAAAGCATATTTCCTTATCATTGCAGGTAGGATACCGCCATATTGATTGTGCTCAAGTATATGGAAATGAGAAGGAGGTATGTTGAGTCTATTTGATTTTATCATTGTTATATCTAAGCTAGTTGATATTCCTAGTTTTTTTTTTTTTTTTTTTTTTTTTTTTTTTAAGATTCATTTACCTTGAGGAAATTTTTTGTTTTAAAATTGGAAATATTTGTTTAGATCCTATGGAAATGAGGAGGTATGTTGAGTTTATTTAATTTTATCGTTGTTATAGCTAGACCCATTTGCTTTGACACCTTTCAAAAGACAACTATATTCATACATGGACAAGTGAAAGTAGGGTCAGGACTTGGGACTTGAAGGTCGAGGCAACAATGGTGAGAATAGGCCACCATATTCCAAATATGCAATGCTAGTCATGGTTACTGTAAAACCTTATTATTGTAAAGCTCTTTACATAATTCTTATCTTGTCCAACGATCAAAAAAAAAAAAATTTCTTATTTTGTCCATACTCTGGTTACATCACAGTAACCTTAAATTAGAATGAACCTCTTTGTGAATATGCCAAGCCATTATGTGTTTTGGGATGGGTCTCATCAGTTCAGATCCTTGCCATGATTTAGAACTCATATTTGCAACTGACTGCATTAATGGTGTAATTGGTGATTTGATTTAAATAGACTTACTCACCTTGGTGGTCAAAGATAATTTGTTTGGAATGAGAAAATTTCATAGTTTCTTGGAAGGTTTTCGAGGAACTGATCTAGTTTTCTTTCCTTGTAGATTGGTTTGGTTTTGAAGAAGTTGTTTGAAGATGGTATCGTGAAGCGCGAGGATTTGTTTATTACCTCCAAACTCTGGTTTGAATCAATCTTTATTTTGATTAAATCTGGTATTAACAGATTAAAGAGATCATAATTTGTTTGGAATGAGAAAATTTCGTAGTTTCTTGGAAGGTTTTCGAGGCACTGATCTAGTTTTCTTTCCTTGTAGATTGGTTTGGTTTTGAAGAATCTGTTTGAAGATGGTATCGTGAAGCGCGAGGATTTGTTTATTACCTCCAAACTCTGGTTTGAATCAATCTTTATTTTGATTAAATCTGGTATTAACAGATTAAAGAGATCACTATATATATGTATTTGCTTATGCTAAGATGATAGTGCTGTGTTGCTTTACTCTTTGTTTAGAGTCTCTCACGTCTCATCTTTTCTGAAACACAAAGGTGATTTTAATTTCTGCTAAAAAATGTAATGATATGCAGGTGCAGTGATCATGCTCCAGAAGATGTACCAGAGGCACTAAACAGAATTTTGCAAGATTTGCAGCTTGACTATGTTGATTTGTACCTTGTACGTATTGCCTCATAGAAAGTTGCTTGCAGTCATGCCTGTTAAAAGTTAACTAGAAGAGTTTTTCTTTTCTTTTTTCTTTATTTTCCTTCAAAAGTCTAGTTTCCACTTTTATTTGCTAAAGTTAATATAGTTAAAGAACTCTTATATTGTCTTGGAAGATTGAAACTGTATCTAGACGCCGAAGACATAGTGGGAACTAGGAAGAGGTTATATTTGACTAATAGGCATCCCTTAAAAGACAATTTTAATGCTTCTTGAACCTTGAAGGGGCATAGAACCAATGGTTTGATGATCAATTGCTGGAGTTTATTGATGTCACATGTGGCCTAAAAATGACTCCATCAGATTTAGATATTATAAATAGTTAATATTGACCCCGTCAAATGTTTCATGGTAGATATTTTTAGTTTTTCCTAACTGAAGTGCTTAATTATTGAAGATCCACTGGCCTGTCCGGATGAAGAAAGGGTCAATTGGCTTTAAGCCTGAAAATCTCGGTATTCCTACTGACATACCTACCACATGGAAGGCAATGGAAGCTCTATATGATTCCGGTAAAGCCCGTGCTATTGGTGTCAGCAATTTTTCTTCGAAGAAACTGGGAGATTTGCTAGAGGTAGCACGTGTTCCCCCTGCCGTCAACCAAGTTGAGTGTCATCCTTGCTGGCAACAGTCCAAGCTACATGAATTCTGTAAAGCTAAGGGAGTCCATCTATCTGTGAGTCAACAATTTTATATTAGTTGTGATATTTACACCTGACCCATCTGTCAAATCTCAATTCATTTTCTAGTTCAATTTGGCTACAAATTCAATTTTAACTTGATCTTATTTTTGTTACTTTTGTCTTCGACTTATGTATTCTTTTAGGGATACTCGCCTCTGGGTTCTCCTGGTACAACTTGGCTCAAGAGTGATGTCCTTAAGCATCCAATTTTAAATGCGGTTGCAGAGAAACTAGGCAAGACTCCTGCTCAGGTTGCTCTTCGTTGGGGTCTACAGATGGGTCATGGTGTACTCCCCAAGAGTACAAAGGAAGCAAGGATCAAGGAAAACTTTGATGTCTTTGACTGGTCTATTTCTGAAGACTTGTTTGTCAAGTTATCTGAAATTCAGCAGGCAAGTTCCTAATATGACTGCCCTTATCATGGATTGTTTGTTGTTCATAACTCCGTTGCTCTTCTCGTTACACCAATATTCATTTGTTACATGATTGTTAAATTCACCAAAAATAAAAGCTAACATGTGAGTATTTTTACATTATAAGTGAATATGACATCGGGGTAGGCCATTAGTTCAAAGTCCTAACTTGGGGCCAATAAAAAGCTCCAAGAGTCTTGTGTTCAATTATGCATATACTTCATACAATTAGTAATAGTTTTTTTTTTTTTTTTATGACTCTGCAGGCAAGACTCATCCGAGGGACTTCATTTGTCAATGAGACTCTTGGGCACTACAAGACAGTTGAGGAACTCTGGGATGGTGAGATATGAGAAGACAGACAAATGATGGCAGAGGCACCATGGCGGTGGCGGTTTTCTATTTACAGCATCATTGACAACCAATGCTGCGAGTTTAGGTTTCGTAATCTTTTTTAGTTCTAGTCACCTAGGTTGTGTTTCTGCTGAATTTGCTTTACATCTTTTCTTCCGTCTTGTTAAAGGCTACAATGTTACTAAATTTGGTAAATTCTGAAGATTGCAACAACAAAAAATTGAAGAGACGTTCTCTGTCATGTTTTTTTATTCTCATGGAAGATGTATTGGTAAACCAAATGATTTTGGATGGTTTGTTAAAATTTACTATGTTTTCAGTGTTTGTGAGACCATTCGTATCCAACAAATAAATGCGAGTTTGTGTTCTGCTTTGATGCTCTATATAATTGTATTTCACTAGTTTTTGAAGAATGGAAATGTGTTAACTAGTCAATAATATTCGATAAACAATCCAAACAATAATCTATTATTTTTATACAATTTACCACTTTCTTATTTTTTTTATTATAAAAAATTGGGAAACTTATTTTTAAATTATTAATATTATAATGCAGTATTTGGTTTAGTAAAATGAAATTGGATGGAATGAAATAGTCACTTCTCTATAAAATAACTATTGATTCACAATGATGAAAGATAATTTTATTTATAATATATATTTTTAATGAATGAAACAATAAAATAGACATTATTGACATAGGTGGGCCTATAGGGGCTTTTGGCCCGCCACTTAGAACTCAATACATAATTCAGACATCAAAGCCCAACGTTGCACCAAGAATCAATGACATCTAAACACTTATCAAGAGCTGAACCAGCCACATAAGCAGACAAAGATCCTGCAGAGTTATTGCACCATACATCAGCCATTAATGAGGTTCCCTGAAGCATTTATTACGATAACTCCTTCATATCGGAACAGAACGGCCTCACCATGAACAAGACAAGCTAGAACATAGACTTTCGGCTAACGTGACAGGTCGGAATGGATAAGGAAATGATGAGCAAAGGATATAGTAGGTTTGTAAGACAAGGAGAAGGTTAAGCTCTTTATTATCATCATATCTTTATATTTTGTTAAACTCTCTTCTCTAACTTGCTCGTCAGAGGGTTCATCGGGGGACTCCCGTTCCCCGTTGAACTTTTGTGCAGGTTTCTCAATGGGCCCAACGATCGGGCAACCGTGTGGGAGGCCTGGATCAGCCCAACCCGTTCATCAGAGACTAGTAGCAGCATCAGTTGGCGCTGTCTGTGGGAAACCTTTCACTCTATGTGGCAACTGTGCTCATTATCGCCGAAGACCCATCCCCGATAATCCTTACCTGCCACCCACCAAGGTGGATGGTCACAACTAGATCCATGGCTTCTTAACACAACGTGGTCGACCCCCAAGCCGATCCTCCTAACCCAAATAACCCACCACAGTATTTCACAGAACTCACCAACAGTATTAACCGCCTAGCCGAACAAAACCAAGCCCTGATCAATGATTTGCTTCAATGAGACCTTCTTGTGCCTCCTCCACCACCTCAAGATATCCCACCCAACCGAGAACGAACCCCGAGCCATCCCTTCCAACACTCTCACCCCTCCAACTTGGAGGGTTTGCGACCTCCATCCCAAGATATGAACCCGCCAACTCAGGCTCCACGTCCACCAGTCCAAGCACCTGCTCCCGAGGGAAAGGCCAGTAGTGTCCAGCCTCCATTGCATTCTGGTGTTGACAACGTTCCTATTTGGGATGCGGAACTTCGAGCCATGAAACTCCAGCTTCAAGGAGTCATGCAGAACATGCAGAATAAACCCTCCACCACAGCCAACTCACCATTCGTCACCTTCATCAGGTACAAACCCCTACCTCCTAAGTTCAAAATGCCCTCGATCGACTCTTTCAACGGTACAACGAATCCAGTCGACCACTTGGAGACTTACAGGACCCTGATAGTCCTCCATGCATTCCCTGATGAGATCATGTGTCGGGCTTTCCCCGTAACACTTAAGGGGTTAGCCCGACTGTGGTTTAGTCAGCTGCCGACCGACTCTATCTCTACTTTCCAGCACCTAAGTGACTTATTTCTTAGCCACTTCATTGGTGCCCAGCGCTAGCAGCGTCTGGCAACCCAGCTCCTCAACATCCGTCAGACGGAGGTGGAGTCGTTGCGCAGCTTCGTCACTCGCTTCAACACCGAAGCCTTGCAGGTGGCAGAAAACGATGGCAAGGACATTTTCACAGCTTTCATGGCCAGTTTACGATCATCCGATTTCTTTTTCTCCCTCTCCAAAAACCCTCTAACCTCCATGGCAACCCTCCTTTCCAAAGCCCAAAAATACATGAATGCCAAAGACTCTCTGGCCGCCCGCCAAGATTCCACAACCAAAAACCCAACCCGCAGAGAGAAGTGGAAGGAATCCAAAACCAGAACCCCAATACACGTAGCAACCACCTCAGTATGCCGACCGAACTGCTCGCGCCGACCGATTGGCACCTACTCAACCGCCAGGTTGGTTCGAATGGTACACACCCCTCAACTCCCCCATGGAACAAGTCTTAAACCAGATCTAACGAGATTACAACTTGAAATGGCCACAACCCTCACAGTCCCCTTCCAACCGGCGAGACCAATCCAAATACTGTCGTTTCCATCAGGACCACGGCCACAACACCGAGGAATGTGTTAACCTTAAAGACCAAGTAGAAAGCCTGATACGCCAGAGGCACCTCAGTCGGTTCACAACAGCCCGTCCCCAGCAACAGCCGAGGACCGAACCTGCTAGAGGCAACCGCCGACACACTCCCCCCTGACAACCCGTACAACCTAACCAAGGCAATGATCGACTCCCGCCACAACCTCGAGTACAAGGCAACCCTGCTCCTCCAGTTGGAGAGATTAGAGTCATTGCTGGCGGACTCGCGTGCGGAGGACCATCCCGTTCTGCCCAGCGAGCCGAACTCAGAAAATCAGGCAGGGCTCCGACAAAGAAGTCGCGACTTTGGACCGCCCCCTCAAACACCCCAAACAGTGGATGGAGCCCATCACCTTTACGGAGGCCGATTGCACAGGCATCTGTTACCCTCACGACGACCCCTTCGTCATCTCTGCTCTCCTATCCAACTACAAAGTCAGACGAGTGCTTGTCGACAACGGTAGCTCTTCAGACATCATCTTCCTAAACGCTTATCACCAGCTCAAGGTAGGGGAAGAAAGTTTGTCCCCTCTCTAAACCCCACTGGTCGGCTTCACTGGGGATCGGGTGACCTCTATAAGCTCTATCGATCTTCCCATCACCATCGGAGAGTATCCACGTCAGACCACCAAGTTGCTCACTTTCTTCGTCGTCGATTGTCCCTCTGCTTATAACATCATCCTCGGCCGCACCGCCCTCAACGCTTTTCAACCTGTCACATCCACGTACCATCTGGCCATGAAATTTCCTACCGACCTCAGAGTCGGCACCGTGAGGGGAGAGCAAATTGTGGCCAAAGAGTGCTACATCGCTTCACTTAAAGAGGTCAAGCTAAAAGAGGCTATGATCATCGAAGGACTCGACGTTAGAGGCGAAGACGAGTTAGTCAGAGGGGAACCAGTGGAAGAACTTGTTGAAGTCCCCATCGACCCCACCAACCCAACAAAAACAACCAAGATCAGCAGCCAACTATCCTTCCAAGCCAAGGCCGACCTTACAACCTTCATAACCGAGCACAATGATGTGTTTGTCTGGACCCATTCCGACATGCCGGGTATCGATCCCTCCTTCATCACTCATCGTCTCAGCATCGAGCCCCATTTCTGACCTTTCCACCAGAAGCAACGTATCTTTCACTGGAACGCAATGCTCTTATTGCTTCTGAGGTAAACAAACTGCTGGAGGCACGGTTTGTCAAGAACGTGGACTACCCCAGATGGCTGCCAAATGTGGTCCTGGTCCGTAAAAATAACGGTAAATGGCGACTCTGCATCGACTATTTCGACCTTAATCGGGCTTGCCCCAAAGATAGTTATCTCCTTCACCGCATTGATCTGCTTGTCGATGCCACGGCTGAACATCAAATGCTCAATTTCATGGACGCCTTCTCTGGCTACAATCAAATTCTGATGCACCTGGCTGATCAAGAACACACCTCCTTCATCACAAACAAAGGAACTTACCACTATCGTGTTATGCCATTCGAATTGAAAAATGCCGGGGCAACTTACCAACAGTTGGTCAATGCCGTCTTTCACCATCAAATAGGTCGGAACATAAAGGTCTACATCCATGACATGCTTGTCAAAAGCAAACTCTCATCTGATCATCTGACAGACTTGCGAGAGACTTTCGAAACCCTACGTAAGTATCAAATAAAGCTAAATCTGGAGAAATGTGCCTTCGGCGTAGGATCTAGGAAGTTCTTGGGTTTTATGCTCAGTCAGTGAGGCATCGAGACCAATCCCGAAAAGATCAAGGCCCTAATAGAAATGCAGTCACCCAGAACAGTTAAAGAGGTTCAATGGCTTACCGACAGAGTCATCGCCCTCAACCGTTTTATTTCCCGCGCAATAGACAAGTGCCTTCCCTTTTTCAAAGTCCTCCGACAGGCCTTTGAGTGGACCATCGAATCTGAAGAGGCCTTTCAACAATTGAAGCAGGGCATGGCCAACCCCCCCTACTCTCTCAGGCACTCTCGGGCGAAACCCTCTTTCTCTACTTAGTCGTATCGAACACCGCAGTCAGTGCGGCCCTCATTAAGGAGGACGGCTCAGTACAGCGTCCGGTTTATTACATTAGCCAAGCTTTCAGGAGGGCAGAACAAAACTACCCTCTGCTGGAAAAAATGGCCCTGGCCTTGGTCATAGCCTCAAGACGACTCTGGCCTTATTTCCAAGCTCACTCCATAGTGGTCCTCACTGACTAACCTTTGAAGAAGGTAATGCAACAACCAGAATTGTCCGACAGACTTATACAATGGTCTGTCGAGCTCAGCCAATTTGAAATCTCTTACTGACCTCGAACGGCGATCAAAGGACAGGCTGTCGCCGATTTTATCCTGGAATTCACCAACCCCACTCCAATCACGCCCCCTCCGCCCAGGCAATTCAACACTGAGGCAAAAGAAGCCTACTTTTGGACCCTCAATGTCGATGGATCATCCCGCAAATAAGGCAGTGGGACTGGTCTCATCCTCACTGCCCCTGAGGGTAGTTATTTCAAGTGTGCTCTCCGCTTCCTGTTTGACGCAAGCAATAATGAGGCTAAGCACGAGGCCTTGATAGCAGGTCTTCGCCTAGCCAGAGACATTGGTGTAAGCCATATCCATGTGTTCAGTGATTTCCAACTGATCGTCGGACAGATTATGAGGGAATTCGACGCAAAAGAAGACATAAGGATATTGCACTCCC